GAGAGAGAGAGAGTAAAAAGTCTAATTTCCTAATGATAAATCTAATAATTTTGATTAAATCGAAGGTGCCAATTAGGTTAGTTGATGAAATTTTTGACAATATATCATTCGTTTTCGACTCGAATTTCATATTCGTCACTTATCCTTTGATAAATAAATAAATAAATAATATATTATTTCTATCATCGTTTCTATTAGGTTATCAGGTTGATGTCGGTCCGATCCATTTAGATCAAAATGTGGTTCTAATGATCAAACATATGATTAGTGAAGAAAAAAATTAATTAAATATTTTTTAAAAAAATTATAGCTTTTTTAATAGTTTGATTCAAGTTGATCGTTGGACTGAGATGGTAGGTCCAATAATTCAAAGATGTACAATTGTAGAATAATATTGTGCTGTTAATTATCAGCATTGTTGTGATTTATTTGCCCAACACTATCCTTATTTTCTTCTTCTTTTCTGAATGATTTAGACTTCAGTTTCCAAAGAACACTTTGGTTTTACATCAAACCTTTAGGAAGTTCTTTACTGCCATATGTTGAAGAATAAATGCAGTAGTTTGTGGGAAACTGGTTGACATGCAATCTATCAGCTTGATGAAGTGATCAAAATCATTACAGTTTGCCATTCTTTGTTTGACCATTGGAGCATCATAAATATGTTCATCTGAGTTCTTCATCAGCACACTAACTCTGGTAGGTTGCAGCTTCAACTAAGAAACCCTTAATCCAAGTTTCTTTTGGATATTTATTCTCGTGTAAAAACAAATGGTGAAAAATTCAACATTAAATCTGAAAAAAAATGCTATTTGGAATTTTCTTTTTAGTAGTCATAAATGCTAAGCCAAGGTCTTCTCTTCATCTTCATGATGAACATATGATTGAAAATCTAAATCTTTTTTATGACTCTAAAGAGTGCTCATATTTAATACTATAAGATATTATCAACTCCAATGAATCCCATAATATTTTATCTATTCAAATTATAAAAAAATTGATATATATGAGACCTTACGATGGATATCACATGAAACGTCATAGTTTATCTTACTATAGATCTTAGAAAATATTTATAAAGATAGAGATGATCTCTTATTCGTTCTTTACATCCTTTCAAATTAGATAATTGGATAGACTGATTAATTATATTTAAATAAAAAAGATTATTATTATTATTATTATTATTATTAACTTTTATTGCGTAATAGGTGAATCAATCTGTGCTGGATTTAAGTACTTATCGATCGTATTTAGGAAGAAATTGGGAGTCAATTTAGGACGAAATCCCAAATCAATATCCATCGCGCTTTTTAGTGTAGAGATCCTTCAATTCTCCGACTTAGAAATGCTTCTCATACGCTACCAAACATTACTCACACTTATAGTTAAATGGGACCCGCTGCGGCGCCCGCCGCAGTTGGACCTGTTCTCGAATCATCATGAAGGTACGTTTTGCGTCATTTTGAGACAGGTAGCGAAGTGTTTTCTGCTCCCGCTTTTTTTCCTCCGTATCTTGTCGTGGGGTCGTAAGCTGATCTCCACCGACCACCACCCAAAGTGCCTCCTTGACCATACCTCTGTGGGCCCCGACTGTGGTGTCGTCTTGACCGTCCACGTACCGCCCTCGAGAAATCATGTCCGTTGACATGGCGGTCTCACCGATCCTCTCCTGCCCATATCTCGCTTGACGGTGGTCTCGTCTCGACTCCATGCTCGAGTAGTGGTCGGTCCGCATCAGCTGTGAACCTTAGAACGTAGTACGCCGAAATATCTACACTTCGGTGAGAGAAGTCTTCTGGAAATGGAACACGTTTCGCATTGTTAAGGGTCTAAATGAAGTGTTGTGTCTTGTGTTAGATAGAGGATCGCTCACTGAGCTCTTTTTATACCCCATCGACGCACCCCTACATCGCCGGGCTTCCTCTTGCAGACGCCGTCCTCTTCAAACCCTAACCCTTATTGCAGGTTGGATTGGTCCAGTAATCAAGGCGAGATTTTTTGATCCAATCCCACTTCGGAAATCAATTCTCGTCCTTTTTTCCCCTGATTTTTGGGTACATTTTTTATAATAAAGAGCGAATTTTTGATTCGTTTCGCCATCTACAACATGCGGGCCGCTTGGTCTCGGACCCTTGACATGGCGATCCCCTTGCCCCACCTCCTCCACTCGGACCGGCCCCTCCCAGCGGCCGCGTCGCACGCCACGCCCCCGTCCGCCTCCGAATCCGCCGCCCCGCCCCAAGACGAGCTGAAGCGCGTGGCCGCCCACCGCGCCGTGGAGCTGGTGGAGTCCGGTATGGTCCTCGGTCTCGGCACCGGCTCCACTGCTGCCCACGCCCTCGACCGCATCGGCGACCTCCTTCGCTGCGGCGTCCTCCGGGACATCGTCGGCATCCCCACCTCCGAGTGGGCGGCCGCCCGTGCCGCAGCCGCCGGCATTCCCCTGTCTGACCTCAACGCCCACCCCGTCGTCGACCTTTCCATCGACGGCGCTGACGAGGTCGACCCGGCTCTCAACCTCGTCAAGGGCCGCGGCGGGTCCCTCCTCCGCGAGAAGATGGTGGAGGGAGCCAGCCGGCGCTTCGTCGTCATCGTCGACGACTCCAAGCTCGTCCCCCGCCTCGGTGCCAGCGGCCTTGCGGTTCCCGTGGAGGTCATCCCCTTCGGTTATGCCCTCACCCTCCGTCGTCTCCATAAACTCTTCCATGGCGTGCCCGGCTTCAATCTCAAGCTCAGGACCGCCTCCGTGAACGCCAAAGCCAGCACCTTTGAGGAGGATGGGTTCGAATTGGAGCCATTTGTGACGGACAACAAGAACTACATAGTGGATTTGTTCTTTGAGGAAGGGATCCACGGCGATCTCAATCTGATTAGCGACGAGATTCTGAGGATCACCGGAGTGGTTGAGCACGGGATGTTCCTCGGATTAGCGTCGTCGGTGATCGTGGCCAGGAAGGATGGGGTGGTGGTGATGGACAAGTAGATGAAGTTAAATGGTATTTGAGAACCATACTTAATTTGGACAAGGAGTGGTTGAGCACGGGATGTTCCTTGGATTAGCATCGTCGGTGATCGTGGCGAGGAAGGATGGGGTGGTGGTGATGGACAAGGATATGAAGTTAAATGGTATTTGAGAACCATACTTAATTTTTAGATAAGCTAATTATATATTGCATTTATATCAACAAAGGAAGCCACTTGATTCATATCATGAATTCTTGAAATCAGGAATTGCGATTATTGTAGGAAGAGAAGATGCTAAGTCTGTCTCTATGAACTTTGGTTGGGGATTTAACATATAGTCAAAATTGATAAGATTTTGTTGACATTCTTCCTCTAGTTTGTTACAAGGAATTGTGATGTCTAACCCTTTGATATCAAATTATTAATTCACTTCTGTTGCAACACATTTCTGCCGAAAGAAAGTCTCTTTTGTTGTTTTGATTTTTCTTGCCTTCAAAGGTTTCACCAATTATGAGCTTAGAGATGCAGTGGCTAGAGATGATCCCAGTTCCGGAACCAGCGGTTCCGGTTCTTGGTTTCATTTCCAGCCCCATTCGGTTCCTGTTCGAATCTAACTGTGGCAACTTACTTCGGAAGGTCGCCTTGAAGTGATATATGCAAAAGAGATATGAGTTGATAAACTTGGAGTAGTTGTAATGAGTAACAATTTGCACCTGCAAAAATAGGCTGTTAGCAATGCTTTTGTCCAAGTCTTGTGTGCCTGACATAATATGTATATGAGGCTTCCTCATGCTTGCTCTAAAAGGCTATTCCATGCTTATTTTCTTGATGCATTTGGGACTGAAGTTGCAATGAAAGAAAATAAGCTTTTGCTTTGTCTTTTCAGTATGTTATTTCTTTTATACAGCAAGGGTTTATGTTGATACTTCTCTTCTATTTACTCCTGCTATGATTGACATGTATTAATAACAGCAGCAGGCTCCATATCTAAGTTGCTACATCTGTATAAGCTTTGAGGTTATGTGCCTTTGGATATACTGTAATTGTGGCTATCAATGATGCATTTCTCAATTGCAGGTAAAGTTTTCCTTCTTTAATGTTGGGAAGATGCTATTCATGATAGAATATATGAATATGCACTTCATATTGTTTCTTTCTTTATCTTTTTCCTCATTATTTTTCTTCTTGATTTAGTTATTCTCTCACTTCATGGTTACTGTTTGCTTAATACCTCAAAGGGAATGTAGATGTAGCATATAGCATCCTTGGTTGCATCATTTTATCGATGATGATCCAGATGATATTTTTGACTGAACATTAAGTTTGTATGAAATGTGATTGTGTTAGTTTTGTGGTGGTTAAAGAAGAAATTTAGTTGATTTAGTGTAAATGTAATTTGGTCTCTCTCCAAAATAAAGCTTAATTGGTTTGGTTTTAACTATATATGTATGTATGTATGTATGTATGTATAGGGATCTAAAAAGATTACAGAATCTCTCCATTCTTTAATAGTTAGATATAGGAGTATATAGTGTTATTATCCATAGAGCCCTTCGAAGCTAATGGAGATTTACTTCCAAATATGTCTCAAGTTGACGGCTTTTGGTTTTATGAAAATTGCTTGGGGTGTATCCAAAAAGGTTTCTTCGATATTTAACCTGAAGGACTCGGTCAAATATAATTAGTCTGAGAGTCTCTGTCGTAAGAATGGCTCAAGACAATCTTTTCATAGTATGATAGATGATTGTTAGGTTGAAGACATTTGATCATCAATGGGTCATCAAATCATGCGTTCAATTGAGTAAGAGATGAGCAACTAGAGGTTTGTGAGTGATGAGGTGTTTGGCAAGTGGGAAGTGTGATATGTTATGATCATCAATGTGTCATATCTCCCATATCAATCAATAGATATTATTTTTTATTATATTTTTGGATGATAATGGTCCGATCCATATGTCACTTTATATACCAATATTATAATTTTAACTATTATTATAAAAATCTCAAGAGTGAGCTGGTTACCATGGTCCTGAGAGCATGAGTATTCAAATCGAATTATTATGAAATTACATCGATGATTTCATATATATTATGGTTATGTAGGATACGAAGATCACGATCGCTATCAAATTAAGATAAATGTGAATGATGTTGTCGATGCGATGTGGATGCTTGTTGGGATGTTGACATAAACATGGGCATATATATATATATATATATATATATATATAT